TATGCTTGATTACCAGATTATATTCTTGTAGCTTGAGTGCCCATCTTATTAACCTTGGGGATAAGTTTTTTTTCCCTGAGTACAATCTAGTTACCGCCGCATGATCAGAAGTACACTGTTATTGGCGCCCTTTCCAAAATAGACTCGGAACTTTTGCACTGCTAACAGAACTGCAAGTGCCTCTCTCTCGGTCGCGGAATAATTTCTTTGTGTTTGATTTAAAGTTCGGACTAAAAAATGCCACGGGCTGCTGATTTTGCGAAAGTACCGCTCCTACCGCATAATCCGAAGCATCCGCTGAAATTTTCTAAATTCTCATCCTTTTCAGGAAATTTCAACACAGGGGCTTGCGTTAATGCTTGTTTTAATTTTTCGAAAGCACTATTGGCTTCGGCCGTCCACGAGAATCTTGCCTTTTTCCTTTTTAATTTTAACAATGGCTCAGCAATAGCTGCAAAATCTTTTATAAAGGACCTATAATATGAACAAAGTTTGGCGGCGGATACTTTTGTACAGCGATTATTTTTGATTCGTCTGTCTCGATTCCTTTTCTGAGATATTTTGTAACCTAAATATTTTAATTCAGGGGCTGCAAATTTGCACTTTTCGACATTAACTTTTAGACCGGCCTCATTTAATAAGAAAACACCTGTCTTAAATCCTGTACATGTTGGTCCAGATTATCACTAGTAATAATGATATCGTCTAAATAGATAAATGTGGACTTTCCAAGAACAGGCCTTAACACAATGTCCATACATCGCTGAAATGTTGCCGGTGCCCCTGAAAGGCCAAACGGCATACGCAGGAATGCATAAGTGCCAGACTTGGTTATAAAAGCAGTCTTAGGCACGTCCTCCGGTCTAAACCCTATTTGAAAATAACCAGTCGTTAAGTCTAAAGTCGTCATATATTTGGTAGACGTTATGTTCCTTAGAATTTCTTCAATAATAGGTAACGGATATACCGGATATTTAGTTATGGAGTTTAATTTACGATAGTCAATCGCGAAACGCCACCTTTTTGGATGTGGTAATGGATAGTCATTGTTTTTCTTACATAAAACCACCGGGCTAGCATAACTACTTGAGATGGGCGTTATGATCTTTTTACGTAGCATATATCGCTAATGTGCCATTCTATAATTTTTTTCTTATTCTTATCATACCGGTATGCTTTGTGGCGAACTGGCAGTGAATCTCCGGTGTCAATACTATGGTTAGTAACTTGAGTAAATCCTGGAATATCACTAAATAACGAAGCAAATTCACTTACCACTTGTCGGATTCTTTCTTGCTCTTCCTTAGGCAGGTGGTCAAGGTTTAACATTGGCGGTTCCGTTTTTTCTTCTCGAACTGGTTTCATCATCGTCAGCTTAAGGGACGCTTCATTAAAATCCAGCGTTGCTTCTGCCTCTGAAAGAAAATCTATCCCTAAGATAATATGTGCTTGCAGATTCTTTACTATAAAAACATAACCTTTACTTGTTCGTCCTTGATACGGAACGTATAAACGGTAATTTACCTATGCACTTACATCTTTCTTTCTCCTTGCGCAGCTAACACTGTCGTATTATCCGAATTATATATGCGGTATTTACGAAAATACTTCCTAAAAAAATCTTCTGCCACACAGGAACACTGCGCGCCTGTATCCAGGAGTGCGGTGGCTGGGATATTATTCACCAACACTTCAATCTTCGGAAGAGTCAAATTTTTCACCATTACTGTATTTAACTTGAAGGAAGAGGGGTTTTCTTGGCCTTCGGATTTCAGCACCCTCCCGTCAGCAGAAATCCGTTTTAATTTAAATCTTTTTTTTTCCTTTCCATGCTTTCCTTCTTTTTCCACTGGCCTTGAGACTTTTTTCCTGGATTGCTATTGAACTGTCGACGTTCGCCGGCTGTTTTTGGATGCTCGGGTTTCCTTGCCCACTGATTCGCTTTGCTTCCGTAGCCGTGTTCTTGACTTTGCTGTGGTCTTGGCGCACCAAATTGGTTTCGTTGCTCATACTGGCGTCTTCTTTCAATGTCCGCCGTTCTTCGACTTTCAAACTGGATTGCTAGCTCAAATAACTTTTCCAGTGTAGTCGGATTCCTTAATTCAATAAAGTCTTGTACTTGGGGAAGTAACCTCGGCAAAATCACTTGAATTATCTCAGGATCCGGACGGTTTCCATACAAGAGTTTGAAGACGTGAATTTTTCTTAAAATAAAGCTTGAGAGATTTTCGATTCGTTTCTGGTATATGCTGAAAAGTTCCGCTTCTAATTTCGCACGATCCCTTACGACAGGGAAGGCTTTTATAAGGCAGTCTTGAAATTTTCGTAAGTATAGGTGGGACTTCCCGCTTGACCCAAGAGACTTCTGCCTATGCATTTGAACCCATTAAGCGCTTGGCCCCTCAAAGCGCTGGTAGCTAAGGTGACTTTTTGGAACTCATGCACGGGATACATCATGAAGTGGTCATCCTTTTTTCCAAAAAACTGGTTACCGGTGAGTTTCCATTAAATGTTGCTTCTGGTTTCATCATCGCTGCGCGCATGGTCTGGACGATGTAACCAAATCCTTCCAGGGCGGCAGCTGGCATTTCTGGATTTTGAGCCGTTTCTGCAGGCAGCACAGGTTCTTCTTGAAACTCGGCCATGGTTATTCTTCTTCGTTGGGCGCCACTATCAGGTTCAATGTTCCGCCTTACTTGCTTTGGGAACATTCAAAAACCTGACTCGGAACAGGGAGCTTACTAAAGCTAGGTTCAATAAATGGGGGTAGTAGACAAGATACACAGGGAGGGTATATGAAACCCTTTATTTTTCACTCTTAACAATGATTTCTGGACTTCGGAATACAGAGACCAACCACTTGTGGTCTGAACGTAAGAATATAAAAATATTAACTAAACTCTAACTTAACTTTGGAATAACAAGCAAGGGCTTCCGAGAAGATTGGCCGTATATTAACAGGAAGCCGTATGTAGCACAGAGAACTGTTAACACTACGATACGTTTAAAATTATGAAGAGGATTAAACGTCTGGCCTGGAAGGACACCAGCAACCGAGTAAAACTGCTAAGGCAAGCGGCCTGCTTCGACTAACTCCTTCCTCTTCTTTGCTTGGCAAAAAGCCACAACTTAAGTACTTGGCGTTCGCCAACAAATTTGCATAAATAAGTTAAAGCTTTTAATTCTGGCCTGAAGTAGAAAATAAGAAGTGATAGTAAAGATTTAAAATAAAATAAACGTTAGTAAAACTTAAGATCCTTACAATATGTGTACATTTTTACTGAGAGCAGTAATTATTCACACATGTGTACACTCCTTATTTTACAAAATTTAGCTAAGAAATTACATACTACTCAACAGCAGAAGGTCCCAAGTCCCTTGTTGGACAAATGCAAACTTTTATCGCAGGTGACAGGTGAGAGCGGCTCAAGACGCGTAATGGCAGGCGACATGCGACGGAGGACGTGGGCACCATCCCTCTGCCAATTGGTTAATTGGTATAGCGCCACGTCCACCTTTATCTAGAGTTTGGGCAGAATAATAAGTTGCAATACAGGGCCAAACAAGGGCATAATTATACATTTGGATGCACATTTTACAGAGTTTGTGAACACAGGTTACATTGAAAATTTAAGTACATTTGGTTACATTTTACATACATTATATACAAATTTAAGATATTTATATCATATACAACTGCTTTCGTATGCATTTACTTATTAGGTTCATTAAATGGTGCTATTTACATTTATACTGCATTTACCTTATGATACATTTACATTACATTACATTCACGTCTAAAAATAAACACTTATAGAGGGTACATGCTATGCACATTGTTTACTGATTGCCTACGTGCACCACCTTTACAGATTCATTACTTGTGTTGTTTACATTAATATTACATTTGCATTACATTGAAATTATGTTGCTTTCATAATTAAGACATTTAACAGACATTTACAAAACATATACACTGCTTTCGTATGCATTTACTTATTAAGTTCATTAAATGGTGCTATTTACATTTATATTGCATTTGCCTTATGATACATTTACATTGCATTACCTTCACGTCTAAAAAAAAAACACTTAGAGAGGGCACATGCTATGCACATTGTTTACTGATTGTCTATGTGCACATGTGCACCACCTTCACAATTTCTTTCATTACTTGGTGTTGTTTGCATTTATATTTCATTTGTGTTACATTGAAATTATGTTACTTTCATAATTAAGACTTTTGTAACATATACACAGCTTTCGTATGCATTTACTTATTATGTTCATTAAATTGTGCTATTTACATTTATATTGCATTTACCTTATGATACATTTACATTGCATTATCTTCACGTGTAAAACATAAACGCTTATGGAGTGCACATGCTATTCACATTTTTTACTAATTCTCTATGAGCATTATTATAATACATACTGTGCACATTATTATTACTTTTGCGTTACACTGAATTTATGTTACCTTCATAATTAAGACACTTATAAGATATACACTGCTTTCGTATGCATTTACTTATTAAGTTCATAATGCTTATTATGTTCATTACTTATTAAGGTCATTATCCTATTTTACGTATTACAGTACATTGCATGGCGCAGCTTGCACTTTATTATATTTACTTTATATTACCATCGTACTCATGGTAAATGCTGATACACTTCGTGTAGATATTACGTGCAGTTATATTGCAGGTAGAGTGGAAAAATCTAAGGATGGCACAGGTTCTGTGTTTAAGTCAGACAGTTTGTCCATTCAGTTGTACTATCTTTTTAATTAGGTGCCGCTGTTTTATCATGTACTTACAAAAGGTTTGACGGTTCGTCTGTGGTAGATTGATGTGCAGCCCTTCTGTAAGTGAGCAAGATGTAAGATAGTGCTCTGGTGAGCCATTTTCTCCGCACGCACATTGGCTTGTGTGGCTGATACCGCCTTTTTGGAAGTATTCCGGGAAAGGTTCGTGTCCGGATATAAATCTTACCAGCTGTGTGTTGGCAGTGTTTCTGCTGGGATCCACGTAGCTGATAAAGTAGTGCGTGCGCCTCCCGGTGGCGCTGGTGTCCCATTCACTTTGCCATAAACCGGTGGCCTTTAAGCGAAGTGTCTTTTTGAGAAACGAGTGGGGCCATGGAATGGTTATTTGCGTACTGGATGGATCTGTCGTGGCCTCCTTGGCGAGTTGATCAGCTAGCTCATTGCCTTGGTGGCCGACATGAGCTTTGATCCATTCCAGTTTCGTGCGATAAGGAAAGTTTTCCCTAAGGTCCTTTTGTATGCCCTGTATGATGTCTGATGGGTGGTCCGGGTTCCATATGGCATACAGCGATGATAGACTATCAGTTTTGATGGTAGCATGCCTGTGCTGATGTGTGTGCAGATAGCGAATTGCTTTTGCGATTGCTACCGCTTCGCTCTGGAAGACGCTGTTATTCTGTCTGAGTTGACCTTTCCATTGCTCGTTTACTGTGTCGTGCGTCATGGCTACATATGCGCATCTTACCTTTTCATCTATTCTTGACCCGTCCGTGTACATGATAAATTCTCCGGGACGATGGGTTGCAGTAGGATTAATAGTGACAAAAACTCCCTTGCCCTTCACTGCTGGGTGGATGTTGAGTGGGCAGACATTCGTTTCATACTCTTCAGGGTAGTAAGTCTCTTCATCGAAAGTGACTGTTCTTTTGAGCTGTAGGACGTGTTGACGTGCTGCCTCTTCTTCGACACGAATGTGCAGAGGAAGGAGGCCGGCGAGCACGTTAATGGCATCAGTTGAAGTGGTGCGATATGCTCTGGTGATTCCCAATGCAAAGGGTCTTTGGATAGTGTTGAGATGCCTGACTTTCCTGCCTTGCATTGGGTGTGCCCATACTGGGGCGGCATGTGTTATTATTTTCTCAACTACAGTTGTATAGAGTACTTTTTGGATATGCGGGTTAAGGCCCCATTTATATCCGTAGAAGAGTCTCATCTGCTTAGCAATTGCTGTTGTCCGTATTTTTACATCCTGAATGTGGGGGATCCATGTCATTTTATGATCGAAACGCGTAATGGCAGACCGCACATTGAGTTGAACTGTGTTAAACAAATGTCGCATACTGCGCATGCCCCCCCCAAAAAAAAAAAAAAATTGGCGTAATTACTATGTTGGCGCGATTTGAAAAGAAGTTAAATACGGTATAATATGGTAGATGTACCGCCATCTGATTGTAAACAAATCTGGCGTTTAAATCTTCCTAGAGTGAAATCTAAATGTGTAATGTTTTACTGTGTAAAATACGATTTTTTTTGCTGTACTGCTCCAGCAACTGGAAACGTGAATGATACGATCAAGTATAAATTCGATTGAAGAGTGCAAAAAATGGGTAAAGGAAGTCAGCGTAAATACAAATGCCCCAGTGGATAGCGCAAGAGCTTAAAACCAAATGCTATTGCAAGATTGCTTTCAGGTATGTATATATTTTCCCATTTCAGTAAATTTGATATGTTATTTATAAGTATGTTTATGTATTATGTCACAGTATCATCTTTCTTAACACACTTACGGTTCATTAACTTTTTTCAACATTTCCTAAATTTCTATATAATGTAACATTAAGAAAAAAGTTTTAAGGAATGATTTGTTTTCTTACTGTTCTAATTCTTTCGAAAAGAAACACCATTTTCAAGAAACTTCAAAGAGAAAAGTATTAGTATTTACAGCGTAATTTTATCACAGCTAAAACTGATGCAAGGTACTTGGGTCTTTTATCTCAAAATATGCTGAAATGTTTTGGTGAAGTTAATATGATATAAAATAATGCAATAAACTCGTAATTTAATAAATTGTGGTATAATTGTAAATAATTGGTAAAATAAAATATAATTGGTTTAAATTTACTTAAGTCGTTATATTATCAAATATCTATTTAATAGGGAAACCTGATGAAGTATTAAATGTAACAAGTTCTATTTTTAAAAGGCAGATGATTGTACAGCATGTAGGAGTTGATGATAATTTTTAATAATCCTAAAGTAATATTAAAGTCAACAATAAAGTATATTTTGATGTATGTAATTTTTTGTCAATGATTACATAACATTGCACTTAAATATTACAAAGTATGTTTGGATTGTTTTCATGCGCGCTATATATTATTGCAAATTATTTCTTCATAAAATTGTATATTTCTGCAGTAAAAAGTCTGTATGCCATCATGAAGTTATAGGAAAACATGTATATGTACTGCACATGTAGCAGGAAGGCAAGATAACGATTATGACTGTCGATCATCATTTGTTTGTATCTGTCAAGCTGATTATACAGACTATAGTAGCCAAAGATAATTTGTGGAAAGTGTGTACCAGAGATGAATATATGAATTACAGTTAGTAGATAATCATTCTTAGTCAAATTTAAATACAATAACCCCTTATTTCATTTTTTATAAATTTTCTTATTATTATGATGTGATTTCACAACCATTGACACTCTCGTGTTGTTAAATAATTCAGTCAGCACTGAACAACATATCATTTCATTGGTATAAAAATAATGAAATATTTTGTGTGTATGACCAAGTTATGGATCTAAGATTTTTTCAATACTTGAATCATCATTTTAAAGATTTTTATAAAATTATTTTAATTTTAGGCATTGGCACAGTGAAAGGCAGCTGAAAAATTTTGACCGTTGTTTCTGGAATTGGAATGTTAAGATGTAAGTAAATGTCTGAGTTACAGTTACTAATACTGTGAAGCACTTAATTGTATGCTTTGCTAATGAATATGTACTAGGCAGTTGTGGTTATTATGAAAGAGGTGAAAATTCAAATACACTTGTTTCAATTACAATTATTACAGACATTATTTAATTTTGTATTAATGCTAATTAAATATATGAATTACGAAAATGCAAAAATTAGTGCGTAAGCATACTAAGTAGTTCAGAGTAAGATTTATACTTAATTTATAGTAGAACACTCACTCACACATACGATCACTCAAACATCACTCGACAGCCATGGAGATCACGAATAAACTAGCGTCGAATTAGTCGCCAATATTTCTCCCCCGCGCCAAAGGTACACCATCAAGCATGCGCAGTAAGAGAAATTCGCTTAACACTGTTCAACTCAATGTGCGGTCTGCCATTACGCGCTCCGGACCCCCGAGCGGTTTACTAGGACTATTCTTGTATCCTTCGGAATCCGCAACTGTACAAGGTGAGAACTCTTTTGCGTTCCAGAAGAGCGGCTTTGGGAGCTTAATAGAAACCTTTGTTAATGCTGTATACTGAACTTTGACCATTTTAAACTGACACACATATAAGTTATTTGGTGCATTTTACATATATATTTGTTGTGGATATGCTAGTTACTTTAGAGTGCTCATGTACAGGGTTCCATAATACACACGCTATATAGCAGCTGATGAATAGAAATGAGCTGATGGCGAAAGTATGTTTTTTCGTTGGAAGTATCAAGTTGATCTACATAAACTTTCTAAAGAAAACCGCTTATTACGTTCTATCCTGTAAGGTTAAAGATCCGCTTTCCTCAGCTGACTTTCAGCTACTATAGTATTTTAAAATAATAACGTTATAATCTTCAGAAAAATATGGTGCTTAAAGTTTAATTAAATGGATTAAATTTTCTTCTGAATTCGACGTTGAGTTTAACTATTTCATACAACAAAATGAAGCTTATTTTTTACATTACATACTTGAAAGAAACTGATTCCTTCCTCTAAGATTGGGAATTTTTTTATTTTTGAAATTTTTAGCACTACCCGAAAGTTACTAGTATTCAAATAAACTGTTATTTTACTTTGTTAACTTTTTTTATGTTTAGTTACCAAAATTTAGAGGAAACCGAAGTTCACCACGGCAACATAAGACACAGTACGATAAAAGAAATACATAGATAATTGCAATTTGTGTTCAAATTATAGACAAAGTAAAACATTGAGAAGATTGCTTTAGTTGTTCGTAGAAATAGCTACAACCTTAGTTTTGGGAAAAAAATAAGCTATATCAGATTTTTTAAAACAATTAAATCAATTATTGCCATATCTCTAATTTAGATTTTGGAAAAGAAATTCCAATCAGTGAGCAAAACATTAATAAATACGTCTGTTGTACTGTGTGTAGATTTATAAAGAGTAAGACTGTTTTCCTTTAAACCATTACTATATTTCAAGGTGGAGTGATCTATGCTTTAGTTTTATGGCTGCCTAGATTACACTTCTAAAAAAATAAGCAACAAATGCTAAAACAAAAGGTACAAATGTGAAAAGGAGAATTAAAAAACATAATTTAAATATGTGGCATCAGTACTATTGTCGAATGCAAAGACGCAACCAAAATCAGCATTAAACGCACTCCCGAAATCACTGCACAATGCCTTAAAAAGGAGCATACCGAGCTATGCATCAAGCTGCAAGTAGCGATAATTCCGTGTAATTCGAGATAGGCAAAGCGGAAAGTATGAGCCGAAGACACTTTGCAGATGAAATCTATTGGAGAGATGTCGAGATGTTGCAAGATAGTGCAAGATAATCCACTGTTGCGAGATGCCTGAATGTTCATCGCAGTGTCATTAATAGGCTTTGGAATCGTTACCAAAGGGATCAAAACCTTTGTAGAACTCTCTGTAGTCTGTTGCGTGATATTGACGACGGAGTATTCCCACAACGGCAGGTGATCGTTTCCTGTTACTATGTGTAAGGCGCCTTAGATCACTAACAGGACGACAGCTGGCATCACATCTCTCTGCTGCTGCAGGACGGCCTATATCCCACAAAACCGTGTCGCGTCGACTGCATGAAGGTGAACCTGTGGTTTGTATTGCTTTGTCCCCATTCAGTGTCAAAGCGCTGTTGAATTTGGCCCGTGAACATCGCAGTTGACTCCAGAGCAGTGGAGCCTCGCACACTTTACGGATGAGTTTCGAGTTAACATCCAAAACGATTCTCAAAGGGCAATGATATGGCGATAGCCAGGTATACGCTATCGAGCTCCAAGCATCCTCGAAAGAGACCATAATTGAGAAGGAGGTTTGCTCCCATGGCTTGGGATAACAACGAACGGACGCACTGACCTCTACGTGATTGCTGGTGTTTCTGTCTCACCGTCCGATATCGCGAAGAAATTCTACATCCTTTTGTGCGTCCTTTCATCATTGCAATGAGTACCGGCGGGATATTTTTACGGGCGTTAACACCCCATCTGCAAAGAGCTTGAATGGTGCAGGGTTAATTTGGAATGCGAAAGCATTCCGTATCTGCCGTGGGTTCCGAATTTTTTTTAAATACACTGCTGGCCACCGTAAATGCAACACCCTGAGAGAAGCATGCAAATAACATGAAATTTACAACATGCATTAGCGGAGGTGAGATATGCAAATGATTAGAATTTCAGCGCAGACGCACATCACGCGCGCCTGTGGCGCCACTTCAAAGCGCTATGTAAGACTTGGAGTTTTCGACGATTTCAATTGTGTTTTTCTTGTGGTTTTTTCCCCAAAAAAAAAAAAAAAAAAGATCAATTATGCCTCGTAGTAAACAGCGATCATCGTTTGATCGAGTATCCGAGTTCGACAGAGGAAGGATAGTGGGACCGAGAGTGCGAATTTTCTTTCAGGGAAATCGGTAGTCGTGTTGGGCGAATCCAAAAAACTGCAATGCGGATATGTGACCGTTGGATGCAGGAGGGTACGACGGACCGTCGTACTCGATCGCATCCACCTCAGTGCAGTACTTCACGTGCTGACAGGAACACTGTGCGCATGGCAGTGGCGGATCGCTCAGTCACATCACGAACCATAGCACAGCATATTCAGTGTCTGAGCATCATCCAGTGTCTGAGCGTACCATTCGATGCCGTTTATAGCAGAGTGGTCTGTCCGCAAGACGTCCATTGCTTCGTCTACCCTTCACGCAGAACCACAGACGTCTCCGCCGCCAATGGTGCGATGAAAGAAGAATGTGGACGGCAGAATGGAATGAAATTGTCTTTACTGACGAGTCACACTTATGTCTCTAGGCGTCTTG